ATTTATCACCCTTAGTGGTTCACAAAAATCTTCTTGAACGACAGTTTTATAAATAGTTAACACAATCTATACCGACATATTTTATTGTCAACGATTTCAGTTTAAATACCAACACTTCTATTGTCTATCACAACACAGGTTCGTGGTGTTGATAAGTTGTCTTACTTCTAGTCTATAGTTGGAAAATTAAGGAGAGTGAGCGCAGATATCCTTGAGTAGCTTTACTCGAAACACAATAAACAAACACAAACAAACAAGGTATTTGTTAAAACAATAATTAATAATAATAAACTTGTAACACATTGCTACTGTTTCTTTGCAGATTTAAACTAATAAACATTTTAAGATAGGACAAACTTCATTTGTTCCTGACTTATCTACAAGATTTCGTAATAACAAACTCAGAATCTTGAACCTGGCTAATCTCCGTTTTAAGGTGAGATTTCTTCAGTTTAATATTTGATACTAAAACTCCATCACCATTGTTTATTTGATAGTTTTTGTAATTATTATCTGTGGCTGGAGTAACATTAGGAGAACCAACTGAGTAAATTCAGAAAAACATTGAAATACAACGTGTTTATGAAAAATTGTTCGCCATAAGAACAAAACACCACATATTACAACTTCCTGATGATTAGATCACTTCACATGATCTATTTGTTTTAATTTACCAGGTTTATTATGAACTAAGTGATTTGTGAGTGAGTGAAAAAATATTTATAAAACCAGTTTGTAGAAATGACGTAATGTGTATAGTAGACCGTATTTCAAAAAGGTTTAAATTATTCATCAGGCTGTTCGACTGGTATTATCAGAAATAATCTATGTTTAATATTTGTAAGCACGATCAAAAGTGAATTACTTTTCTACGTTACTACTGTGACCTGACTACTTGGTATGAAATGTTATTTTTATTAGACTTTGTATTGTTATTTTCTCTGTATTTTTCTCTGACCAAACTATAAACATTACAGACTGAAGTATACAACTGTTTATTCGCTTACAGTTTATTGATTGTAAAACTATTCTATGGGTTGTCTAGTATTCTACTTCACAAAATATAAACTACACCAGATATAACAAGTTTCTGTAAACATTACTAATAAAATACATAATCCAAGATGATAAGTCGCTTGTAAATTCCTGGTCTGATTATCTGCATGTAAAGAGAAAATAATTAAAGTGTAAACACAGTTATTAATACAAATACGAAATGCTTATAACTTACCATACAACACAGTATATACATTATTACAGCTTACACGAGTCTTTAATATCCACAACTGTTCTTATTTACAATATACCATAACCAAGGTAACAAGAATATTAATTGTTGGAATAATCAAACAGAACATAATTGTTAAAACACATTAATAAATTCCACTATTGTTAACAGAGATGCTGGTCGACACATTTGTGTTCAATCGTTTAAATCTATATTATCAACAGAAGACGATACATAAAGTTAAATACTGATGTAACTTATTAATAGCTGTTGTTCATATAATAAAAAGTGATGGTATCGTTATTATTTTGGCTGTGATATCCTGAATATCATAACCAAACTTTATCAAGTTACGTTATTTAAAGTAGCTAATTCTAAAATACTGTAACGTTACGTTGACAATATTTTATTAAACTATCTATTAATGTTATTGGAGCACAGGGCACGTGACCTCCACAAAAATTCCAGAATATAGTATAATCATGTATAAGATGATCGACGTTCTCTTCACACGCTAATAAAAGTAGGACAAAACAACTAATGTTCTAAGTATAGTTGAATCATATATAACATGATCGACGTTCTCTTCACACGCTAATAAAGTAGGACAAAACAACTAATGTTCTAAGTATAGTTGAATCATATATAACATGATCGACGTTCTCTTCACACGCTAATAAAAGTAGGACAAAACAACTAATGTTCTAAGTATACTAGAATCATATATAACATGATCGACGCTCTCTTCACACGCTAATAAAAGTGGGACAAAACAACTAATGTTCTAAGTATACTAGAATCATATATAACATGATCGACGCTCTCTTCACACGCTAATAAAAGTGGGACAAAACAACTAATGTTCTAAGTATACTAGAATCATATATAAGATGTTCGACGCTCTCTTCACACGCTAATAAAAGTAGAACAGAAACAACTAATGTTCTAAGTATAGTATAATCATATATAACATGATGGATGTTCTCTTCACACGCTAATAAAAGTAGAACAAAACAGCTAATGTTAAACTTGCTGACACAGCTCCTCCACCCAGAATTACTCTGTTATGGCGGCTGAGTTTCTGTAAATAAATAATAAAACCATGTTACTTTTAAACACACTAATATTAATGTGATGCAGAATTGTTGTTTTTTAACAATGTAGTTTATATCAATTAATGTTTCTACAGCCTTACCTTAAACTGTTGACGTTTATAGTTTTACTTTAGTCCTGATATCTTCCATAGTCACGATATTCTCCATCATATTCACCAATAATTCCTCCATCATATTCTCCACGATATCCTCCACTTCTGCCCTGACCTTCAACATCAAGAAGAATGAAACAAGCCAACAACACGCAGACGACAAGAACTACAACAAGTGTCGTTTTCATACTTCACCGCAAATAACCCACCTTTTCATCGTCTAATAATAAAGTAAACAGACTGAGTAACTAAGATACTACAGTGATGAACACAAAGTGACAACAAATCCGGTTTTTACTTTAACAGATATGTCAGATAGATACACTTGTACTTTAAAACTAGACAAAAATTATCCATTTGTTTACAGTCTTTAGTTCGTATCTACGTTTATTTTATCACTTTAACTACATACGTAGAAGATATTTCTGACAAGAGACTTAAATATATTCATCATCCTAAATATTACTGACGTTTCTTAAACTAATCTTCTATGTGATAATGGATTAAGTTTACGTAAAATATCTTGTGGTGTAACTTTCGTAATAAGTGTAAAATAACTTACCGTTTGGTTGATGTTCTCTAGATTTCCGAGGGGAAAGTTTTCAGCTTTGTACAAAGTCGTTTCTTTTATATTTATAATTAACAATGAGATCTGATTACGAAACGGTTTGGGTGGGATTCGGTAGATCTCAAGAATACTTCTAACGTTTCACCAATAGCCGATGTTTCCTGCAGAAGTTAAATTGTAAAAAAGCTGTCTTCATTTCTATGTTCTCTGATTGGACAGTCAAGGATAGAAAGAGGTGTTCCCAAGTTCCTTGTAATAGGAAGTTAAATATTACTAGCTGAGGATAGGCTAGAATGATGCTGGTTCGATAAGGTTTATCACTAAAGTAAGTTTCTGCTGAACGTTAAACTCAT